CTTTTACGGTACTTTTGAAGTGCTGTCTCGCTCTGCACTTCCAATTAGCTTTCCTGTCGAGAGGAAATACATTTACATTTACAAACAAAGAAAAGCGAGGGAAAAGATGCGGGGAACAGGCTGCGAGATCGATTTTTTCCCGACCTGGTGGTGAATCAGTAGTGAAATTTTATGTTTTTGACCCGAGAGTTTAATGAACATTGTATGCGAGTGTACGAAACCTCTTTTTATTTTTCATCTTTGTTGTCATTACAGTAAATATCATTATAGTTGTAATTGTGATCACTGTGGTGCACATTATATCTACTGAGCGTCATTATCTTTATTACTAGAGTGTTACGTTATTATTATTTTCATCATCATTATTCTTGTTATCATGACTATTGAAATCAATATTATTAGCAACACCATCACCTTTTATCATTATGAATATTACAATCATCATCATCATCATCATTGCCAAAATTACCATAGTTGAATCATCATAATCATGATTATAACCATTACATCTTTATCATTACCATTCTTATTTTGCAATTACCAATATGGTTTAGTTTATCCTTAACAATCATTAACTGCTGTGTATTCATCATCCTTTTCATTATTATTGCTACTGTCATTTATTCACATTATATCTCATTACCATCATTACTTTATCGTTGTTCTTAATTTCGTTTTCATCATTATCACCCTCGTCATTACTATTACCATTAGTATTATCATTGTTTTTTATTTTTATCATCATTGCGACCACTTCTAAAATGGAAAAAAAGATTGTCATTATTATCAAAATGATAACTCTGACGATAACAGTAATGATAATAATAATGATGATAATAATAAAACGGCAACTACGACAACAACAACAACTATAATTATGACTACAACATCTGCTATTATTATTACTACTACTACTACCAGTAAATAGAACTAATAATGACTTTGATGGTGACAACAACAATCTGCTACTTACTACCAATAGAATAATATTGACTACGATAGACTATACTATCTATGATACTTGATAATAGAAATGTGATTATCTTCTGATGATAATAATAGAAAAAATTTATTTCTGATATGACATAAATTTTCTTTCTGATGATAATAATGATAGAAAAAATATTATTTCTGATGACAATAATGATAGAAAATTTTCTTTCTGATATAATAATGATAGAAAATTTTCTTTCTGATATAATAATGATAGAAAAATATTACTTTCTGCATGATAATAATGATAATTTCTTTCTGATATAATAATGATAGAAAAATATTATTTCTGATGATAATACTGATAGAAAATTTTCTTTCTGATGATAATAATGATCGAAAAAATATTATTTCTCTTTGATAAATATGATTTTAATGATAAGATCAATAATGAATAATGATAGAAAAATATTATTTCTGATAATGATGATGAATATGATTATCGGAAGTGCTCATGATATTAGCTGTTATGTTCTGTTGCAACTATCTATATGCCATAAGAATATACTGGCTTCATTGTTCTCCATCGTATTAAACGAACAAATATATATATAGTACTATTCTTGTCTCCATCGGCTCTGAGAAAGAGTTGAGTAATATGTAAAGTTGGCACCAAGAAAACATAAAGCAATGAATTCATTTATGATAGTTACCAGAATACTATTGGTTCCCGGACTTCAAAAAACGACTTTGAAAATTAGGATCGTTATGTAATTTAGATATTTATAATTCTCTGTCACTGGGAAGTTGGCTCTGTGGCCTAATGGATAAGGCGTTGGCCTCCGGAGCCAAAGATTGAGGGTTCGAGTCCCTCCAGAGTCGTGTTGAGGTTTTGAAATCAATATAACTAGTAACATCACACTAACAGAGCCGCCGTCTAAGAGAGCAAGCACATCCAATGAAACATATGCAGATTGCAGTATTGTTCATGGTGGAGGAACCTTTTCGTTCTTTTTTATAACCTAATACTTGTTCATGGTTACTATACAATAGCATTCTGATGAGATAAGATGGTGAACACTCGTTAATATGGCAACATGAACAGGAATTTCACAGAAAGGATTTTAAATTTTGCTACTGTTACCTAATACTTTGAATGCTAAACTGCATCACTTTCACGCACCAAAAAATAAGCTAATAGAGAAGTTTATTATAGTATATGTATAACACATATGCCTTTTGAGTAAATAAAAGTGCATGTGTTAGGATGATTACATAACAGAATTGCGCATCTAGATTCGAAAATGTTTCCCTTGCGGCGGGAAGATATTCTTCGCTCAAACAACGTAAGTTCTTCATTTAAATAAAAAAAACTGGTTTGTTTACCTAATTAACGTTCATTTATTGAAACATCGAACTCGTCTAATTGTACAGGTCATATTAAAATATTTATATCAATTTTGCGAAATTCCTTTATTTTCCTTTGTAAACATATGCATCCAATCAGAATCAGTTTTACTCATGTTAATCAATACAGAAATGAAAGAAAACTACCTCCTTCCCTTCCCTTGCCTTTGCCCCCGTCTGCCATTCCCTGTTTGTTGACCTCTTGTCTGTAGGTCTAAACAGTGGAGTATGTACGGTAAGTATGTTAATGCGAGGTTTTGTCAAGCATTCATAAGCGCGTCAAATCTCGTCCTTTTTCGAAGTCTGAATATCTTAGCGACGAGAACTTGCGATAACACCAGGTATCTTTTTAAAAATTCAAGACCTAAAGACTTTTGCATAAAAAATGATATCAATAAATCCACAATAATCCATATACATTGTTACACCGTATCCTACCCAAACCTTTGTAAATCGGTTGTTTAAGATAAGCTGAAATGTCGAAACCGGCGTTTTTGGTCATAGCATTGAAGTTGGGTTACAATAGTCGTTCTTCATATAGCTTTGCACTAGATAACTCAGAACGGATCCGCGTCTCGCCAACTGATTATGCAATGGGAGGCATCTTGGGAACCATTGGCATATACTGCATATTTCGAGTGATTTGAGGCAATGCATGTTCAAGGGAGAAACTTGCTAGTCTTCTTCACGACTGCATGGAGTAATATTTGGTCAAGAATGCAGAGGCGTGCCGTGGGAGGAGCCAAAGGGGATGTGACCCTAGGCATCCAAATAGAGAGAGGGATGGCATCCAGTCAGAGAGGGAAATGTGGTTTTGAAATTCATATTTAAATTGCATTAAATGTTTATTTCATTTTTCAAGTGTTTAAATATTCTAAATATCTCCCTCCCATAATGTCTATCAGTGCTAGGCCTTATACATGAGTCTTGGGGGCAATGATAGTAATGATTAAAACTATCATTTTACACTTGCCTATAGCGAGTCCCTTACAAAACTGGAACAAAGCTGCAGGAAAAGAACATTCTGACTTTGTCCAGACAGTTTCACGTTTATTTTGTCAAGATATCTGTTACGATGGTTCCTTTTTTCAACAGGGGTGGCAGGTGTTAATGCCAAATGACACATTGTATTGTGTTATGATTACCTCATAGAGATGCGGGACATTAATTTTATTGCTGTATGTATAATATATATATATATATATATATATATATATATATATATATATATATATATATATATATATATTGTGAAGACAAAAGTGATAAATCCCGATGTGTGTGTGTGTGATTGTCGGGGCTGTCCATTGACTTGACCGCAAAGGTTTTCCATCATTTAAATTTCAGTGTTTAATATTGCACCATACTGAAGAACAGTCTGACAATAAACTGAGTGCATATGGGCAACGACACTATTTTACCTACAGAGAAAGGGGTTCAAGTTTTGGAGAAATTAAAAACGGTGAATATCAAAGGATTTTTTTTTTTTTAAAGAGCGAAACATTATCGTTGCATAGTTTTTTCTTCTTCTGAGAAACTAGTAGCAGCTGAGACAGTTGCACATAAAAGAGCTAGAACTGATTGCGAGATATGGACTCCTCAACCGCAGAGGTCCTTCTGTTGTTATATAAGGGGAGACGAAAAGACGAATTTAACTTCTGCAAATTAAAGGCCGACCGCTCATCCATGTAAAAGTATTTCCTAATTAATCATACATTTGATTGTTCTTACGTAAACTACAGCAAACAAACAGCGGATATATATAATACGAATTTCCCAATTTTCCATGCCTAGATATGACTATTTGCTAATGAGTAACGTATTTGTATTGACAATACCTCTTCTAACGTATAGCCAACCATTAGAAAACGTAGTAAATGCATTTTGTAAAACAAAGTGCACAACGTGTGCAAAGATATCTATATTAACCATTATCACTATAATACGGTATAATGTGATATAAATTCGGCGGTATGATATAAACAGAGTAAATACACAATACTACAAAGTTATAGTATCCTAAACATATAAAAATAAAATATACACAGGTAGCCCTTGGAAGTAATGGAGGTTCGGACGTAAACATACTACTCACCGAGAAGGGAATTCCGTGCTCTTTTACTTCTTGTGCCTCCCTGAATTCCTCACCTGCCCAAGATAAGATGGCAAGCATAAACGGATTGCGACTGCTGTGCAGGGGAATGGCTTCTCTGACACTGAGACAAGTTCAGTCCTCTGTAGGAGGCACACCAGCTTGTGGCCCGCTTTTGGAACAAGTTAGTTGTGAAGTATTTTTCTTTCGGTACACATTCGGCAATGACCGTACCTTTCGGCGTGACATCGCCTGAAACTTTTTCCTTTAGAGAAATGTCAGTGGAATGTCATAAAGTTGCCTTAAGTTAGTGTGTCGGCACTGTAAAGATTAACCGGCAATTTTACAGAATACCTTTACATAAATGACCGCGACAGTTTTGTTGTCCTCTCACTCTCCTCTATCCAAATATTTCAAAATAATACCGCCCCCCCATTTTTAACAATTTGGCCTCGGTAGCAAGGGAGGGCATGGTGGTTGCAGTCCCCCATGGAGGGATCACAAGGGGAGAAAGAATGATTCTTTGTATATTATCCATATTTTAAACCTCAATTTCCTTGGTACCTTTCATGCTTTTGTCAGAGTACAAGAGTTACAGGGATTTTTAGTGCTTTCCAGCACTATCTGGTCGAATATATGATTTTAAACTATCCACTGTAGATCACTGGGTATTCTCAATAGAAGTGAAAAGAACACAAAATGGTGATTCTTGACAGTATGGACACACTTGTCAGGGATTTAAGTCCCCAACTCTATGTCAAAATTTATTTGTCAGTCCAATGTTACCATGACTAGGCACTGCCCGAGAGGAGAATTGATGGGGGCTCTACCCCACCCCCAACACCATCAGATAAACATTGTCCTCACCTTGTGTCGTCGTATCCACGGCAAGATAGAGCTAAAACTTAGGAGCACTGAGTGGAATTTGGCTGAGAGAGATGCTTTCTGCTATCTTTTACCGTAATTTTTGGCATTATCATTAGTGTCTCCAGATTTTTTCTTGTACCTACAGCAGCAACTTTTTTACCTCTATATGAATATCATATTCAATTAACCTCAACTTAGTGCGTCCGTAACATAATGATTAACCCAGTGCTGACGGGTAAAAATGTTTGGCAAGTGGTTGTAATAACGGGATTGTTGGCGTACATTGGCAATTTCCCCTGTTTGCGCCTGGCTCAATTGATAATTTGCGAGTGACATTTGGCACCTAAAAGCTTTATTTTGCTATAATTTAAGAAAAGTATTATAATTTTGAAGGATTACCTTCATTATAGGTACCATTGCCTAAAATCTTTACCATATAAATGAAGCCGCTACTATCGTAGAAAAACAAACTCCGTCCGACGAGCCAATGGTGCGGGAATGGGCATGATACGATGCCATCCGTTTTTCAGTACACAACAGCCATGGCATGTACGTAGATGCCACCTGTTGGCTACGGGTTAACCAAACAGCATACAATAAAAAAAAGGTTCCACTTTGAAGGTAGTTGTGGCTGTCATGTATACCTTTAACCCATTGGATTTGGATGCTTCACTGCCATCAATTTGCCCAAAATAAGTGCATTAGGTTTACTTGAGTGGTAATTCTTGTGGGTGTGTGGCTCCATGCCTCCCCTTTACAATATTTTCTCTTTTTCTGTATGTGTTTTTAGTTTTGTTGCCATTTTTCAATGTTTATATTTGAAATTTAATTTGCTTTGCCCAGATAAAAATTTGATGTAGCCTTGTAAGTTTGTTAACTACTGTTTTCTAATTTTAAAATCATTAGTATTACATATTGTCTATACTTTTCATACTTCTTACTCCAAATGATACACATTAGTGATGCCAGCTGCACAAGTAGGACTGTTACCTAATTTCATTACATTTTCATTTATATTCAGTTCACTTATGATTTCCATTAATTTTTATACTCTTAAATTCTTTCAGGCTATATGAGCTGCAGCTGAACAAGAAAAACTGGCTAGAAATAAGAATTAAATGTTATATTTTTTATGTCTAAGGGAATTGTTGTTATTAGATATCATTATCAAAAACTTAAACAATAGTAAATTAAATTGGCTTGTAGTCTCTATATAGTGTTTATTTATATAGAGCCAGATTTTTAATAATGTCCTTCTTTTGGTATGTTGACAGGTAAGGAAACTAAATATACATTATGTTGATCGACCTGCTCCTGGTGACAGAAAGAACTACAGGTTCAAAGTGCATTATCCTGAAGATGGGCAATATACTGTCAAGCCTCTGAAAACCACAAAGTTAGCTGGGCGTCACCCTGAAACAGGTAATTTTGGATTCTTATGATCTGCTATGCTTATTTCTCTTGTAATGTGGTGTTTATGATATATATATTTTTGTAAGTAGTGAATGACAATAGGGAAACCTCAACAATACGAAGGATATGTCAATTAATTGGTATTTTTTTTTTGTGAAGTTGATCTTTAATGTGTGCAAACTAATGGTGTATCACAGGACGTATCATAGTGGGAACACTTGGAGGAGGAGCAAAGCGGAATTATAGGTGGATTGATTGGTTCAGGACTGGCCCCAAAGATGGAACTTTTTTAGAAGAAAGAGTTATTCTGATTCTCTACGACCCAAATCGTTCATCTCGCATTGCTCTTGTTGGCAGTGGTGACAATCTTAGGTAAAACATGTCTAATAAGCTTGGGTTTGTAATATTTGATATCTTCAAACTGAAATTTGATCATACCATGTAAGCATTCTGAAGCCAGTGCAATGTCATAGCAGTTCCACTTATATTTATTGAATTATAACATGTCATGTAATCAAATCGTTTGAGGCTGCCATGTTTGACTTGCAATCATTAGTGAGTCTTCTAATTGAAGTATTCCGTCAGAGAATACCAGAAAATAAATGAACTAAAATGTGCATATTATTTGAAACAAGATAATATTACACAAGATGTTCTTTTAGCATCTTTTATGGATCATTCTAATGCCTGATTTACATCATGAATTGGCAGTTAACATTACACTTCAAATATTTCAAGATTCTTTTGATATCAGGTACATCCTTGCAACTGAGAATATGAAGGTTGGAGACCTTATTAAAACATCATCTTACATACCACGTATCCCAGGTAAGTGGCAGGGATTTTAGGCAGTTTTGTTTGTATTTGCTGCCCTTAAAGTCCCTCAAATACATTTCCTTAAATGTATTTAATTGCTAGAATCACATCACTTAATAATTTCCCTTCTGGTATATTTCCTATTACTGATCATGCAAGACTATATCTGATTCATAAAATTTTGATCTTTGCTAAACATTGCCTATGTCATACAGATATATTTATGATAGGTCTTAATTCTTGTACAATAAAGTAATTATATTGTAAGATTCAAGCTTTGAACTTCCATTAAAGATTTTTTTTTATTCCAGTGAGACCAAAGGAAGGCGATGCATATCCTGTAGGAGCATTACCTATGGGGACAGTTGTAAATAGCGTGGAAGTCTTTCCTGGTGATGGGGCCCGGTAAGTTAGGCTTGAATTTTTTTTATTAATGCATGCTATCTTCATAGGATTCACATAATTTAAGATATATGAATTGTATGAATATCCTTTCAGGATGGTGAAAGCAGCAGGTACAGGTGGACTGCTCATGAGGAAACTTAGTAACAAGGTGATCTTACAGTTGCCCTCAAAGCGAGAAGTTGCACTTGATCCTGAGTGTATGGCTACTGTTGGTATGTGGACTTGTACACCCAATTTGCTGTTTTTTACCTGTAGATATTCACAATTGCTTTGCATAAGCTACTTTGGAATTGAAAACATAAATGAATGAGGGAGTGTATGCTCGAGTGTTTCTCTAGTCATTTATTTTTAGAAACCATCTAAATTCCAGGCCGGTTGTCAAACATAGACCATGGGAATAAGCATGTGGGATCAGCACAGAGAAGGCGCTGGTTAGGCAGACGTCCAGCATCTGGTCTATGGCAAAGGAAGACTGGCTACAATGGCAGAAAGATCCGACCACTCCCGCCAGTGAAGGAGTACAAGGCCAAAATCCCAGACACACCTGTCATGAAATTTACACTAAGTGGAGAGGGACCAACCAGACCTGTTATTCCAAGCACTGATAGGGTTACATGAATATTTTTGCTGTTTCAGTTTAGAAATGTATATATGTATAGTGTGAAAGTATTTGGTAATGTGTCCGTTATGATGGAAAATAAAAAGGAAATATAAAATATGGTTTTATTATTGATATTCTTTCTATTTTGTTTCTTATTAGAATACGTAGCTAAAAATTAACATGAAGGAATGAAATACGAGGCCATTTTTAAGGAATTACCCCTCTAAAAAATCATGAGCTGGCTACAGGGATAGAATATGCCCTGCAAAATCTTGTAATTAACATGAAAAAAAGTCAAGATGTAATGAATCTTAAAAAAAGGGGGACTAAAAGGCTGTTTCATAAAAAAGATAAAAGTCTTGACAATGTTTATTTGCAGTCTTGTACATAAATATCCTTCTCCAACATTTATAAGAAAATTACGAAGGCAAGAACAGCAATAATTTCTAGACATAAGCTTTAGTGACTATGACATTCATAAATTATCTTTCAATTTTTCGATCTGCTTGTTTGCAGCTGAATAATTGTCAACATGACAACAAGATAAAAGTTTCAACCAGTCAAGTCACTATGCCTGCAGAGAAGAGACCATTGTTTTTTTATAAGTTATATGTCTACAGATGTGGTAAAGCATCAGGAGGCAAACGTACCTTCAAAATTATTGAAATGAATAACAACCACCATGGCAAAAGATAGTTTTTCCTTCCTTTTTACCATTATCTTTTGCTGCCATTCTCATATCATTCTTGATACATGACAATTAAGATCTTGAACTTTACAACAAAGAAACAAGATATTTCTCAACGATGCTGTTTCGTCTACATAAAAATATATATGCATATATATGTAGAAAGATTTCACAGAATATCCTATAGCATGAAGCTGCATGACAGACACACACAAGCATATACATAAACAAAAAAACATGCATACAGACACATACTCATGCAGGCACACGCCACATTCACCAAGAGAGAGAGAGAGAGAGGGATTGAGAAAGAGATCAAGAAGACTTTCTTATTCATCCAGATGTGCGTATCGTCGACGTAGTTTTTCTTTCTTCTTGAAATTCTTTTGCCTCTTGGTTTTAGGGCCATCATTACCTGCAATTCTAATAAAAACAAAGAAGCAGACATAAATATGAGGACTTGAGGATAAAAATATCTATACAAAACTGAAAATTCTGAAATGTCAATGAAGCAATAAACAGTGCATTTTTTCTCCCTACATTGTATTTTTGAAAATTGTTACTCGTGCTAGGAGACTTGGAGACCAGAAGTGAGAGGGAAATGGGAATGGAGGGAAGAGAGAAAGAGAGAGATAGAGAGAAAAAACAACAACAAAAAAGAAAAGAGAAGAGAGAGGATGAAATCTGAGTGTACAGAAAAGTGAGAAAAGGAAAGCAAGCTAAATTCCTTTACCAACTTTCACTTTAAATCCAGTATGACTAACATTATAAGTACTCAATTCATTTTTTTTTTTTTAGATGTTATGTCAATTACAAAATAAAATATTCAATACAATTATATAACCATTTTTTTAAAACAAAATGGATGTTTGTGTCCTGGCAAGTTTTTCTTCAAAAATATCAAATACATAACAGCACAAAAACAACCAAAAACAACCTAAAAAAAAAAAAAAAAAAAAAAAAAAAAATCTTAATATTAACATTAACAACAGCAGCATTTACCTACTGTGGACTACAACCTACCTCACTGCTGGTTGTGCACCACTTCTTCTGGCTGTATCTTTAATATGAAAAGAGGCAACCTGTTTTTCAAAGAATTTCTGGTCTACCACCTCTGATCTGGCTTGGTAGGGCTGAAAAGAAAAAATCTCATTTGAAGAATTCTACAAACATAAGCAAATCACAGTTACTGTTCATAGCCACTTTTCTAATTGATAACCATATCAAATTTACAAAATCTACATTTCATTAATAAAGCATTTGTAACCATGATTTTTTTAAATGGTCATAACTGCAAACAATGCCTATTAACATTACTCACCATATTTTTTAGCTGTTGTGGGGTTGGCTTACTTGGTCCTGATTTATGAACCTGTATGAACAACAAATAGAAATTTATTTTAGGTAAATCCTGCAAAGCAAGTCTGGGGTAAAAAATTCTGTTGTATGACATAGGTCAATAGAAGAAATGAAAAAAAAATACAATTCAAATACAAAATACGTACAATTAAAATTGGTTTCATTGAGACTTTTCAAATATTTGAAACATAAACGATCACTTTCCTTGCATACTGTACTAATCATAATTATGGGTGATTTGATGTGACATACAGAGAGACAAAACATACCAAAATAAACAACGTTGATGACTGCATTACAGATGCAATAGTTTGTCAGATCTATTTTTATTTTAGGCAACAACTTAAACTGCAAGGACTGTAAGGTGACCCTGGGATCCACACCTTTGTAAGTGTGTGCTTGTGGTACTCCTCCTGTGAGACATTAGGTGGAGCATGAGCATACAGAAGCTTGCCATTCATGTAGTCCTTAAGAACAACTCGGGCTGTGCGTGGATTATCAGGGCGGCCATGCTTGGTCATGAATCCACGCATAACTGGAGATTAAAGTAGGTAAATTACAGAATACTAAAAAGAACCATAATCACATTGGTTGACAAGTAACTCTTAAGCTACTGAAAAAACTGGCATGTCTGTTCTACGCTAAGAATCCTAAGAGGTAAATATTGATATATGTAATATTGAGGATCAAAAGCTTATGAGATGAGGGTTAAATATGGATGATGTGAAATGCAATCAACAGATGCTTTTATATGCTTGTAAAGATGCTAATCATGCCAAAATAATTTCAATTGGTACCTTATTTTTAATGTTTATCCCAAGGTAACAATGGACTTAATACTATGTTAAATATACAAGGAATATAAGTAAATTGTCCTTTTGGCAGATTATTATCTTTTTTAAACTGAATTCCTACTTTCTTTTGCAAAATTAAGGAACTCTGAAAGATTAATGTTCAACACTTACACCCATAAGTGTTCAGAAGTTCTTCACACGTAGGTGGGCGGTCAGGATCTTCCCCCTCTTTTGGTGAGGGCAGAGTGATGTGATAGATATTTTCAATTACACTTCGTGGGATGCGACTTGCAACAAGATTAACTGGAGGGACTTCGTCTCTCATCTGTTTCAAAAGCACAAAATTAATATTATCTGCTTTAGGGGAGGTTCTCTCTGCAGAGAGGATGATTTACCTATATCACATAATACATAATAGTAATAAATGAAGTGACAGGAAATATTAAAAGTAAATGGAACCAAATAAACAACTTAAAATGTAGAGGAAAAGCACTTAAACATTAAGCAATCACCATGGCAATTCCCCTTTTCTAAACATTATCAAGCATTCACATCTTACACCAATAGTGATTATTCTCAAAAACATGATCCCAGAAATGCAAAATTCACTAACCTGATCAATAGGTAAAATTCCTGAGATTATCATTTCCTGCTTGGTGCTCACAAATCCTGGGAACACTAGTCCTGGACAGTCGCAAAGGATGATGTTGTCTGTCAGGTAAAGTGTCTGAAAAGGGAAAAAGAAAAGAAGAAAAGATGATATCTGAGAATTACATGATCAAAGGTGTTGAAACTCACATCCAAGATGAAGAGTAATATTCATGTTTTTTCTATCAGATTCATGTTTCCTCTAATAAATAACAGTTTTTAAATGATGTGCATATGGCATTAAGCAGCTTGAACATGTGAATATATTTAATGTTGGTAATATGAAAATCTTACAGCAAGCCATAAATATCTTAACAAAGTAATTTTATCACAAATGAAACAGTATTCTTCTCTCAAGACTAGTTTCTACATAGTATAGCACTGACTTTATATGCAAAGAATTTAATATAGATATATTCTTTTATAAACTCTTATTAAACTATCTTACTTAAATACTAGCCCCTCCACTACACTCTTACTGCATGAGGATAAGAGTAAAGGATTATGAAAAACTGAAGCCATTTGTAGTGCATGAGAATGAGTTACATGAATTGAAAAGATATCAATCTTCAGTTTATGCAATAAATATGTATTACAAAAGAGAACAGAGGACTGAATTCTTTTGATAAACATACAGGAATTCATAGACATATATATATACCTGAAAGTGTTTTGTTTTTCCTGGTGTGGCTGAAACAGAAACTTTCTTTTCTAGCAGGAGACAATTTATAGTTGAACTTTTTCCTACATTGGGGTATCCTACAAGACCAATGGTAACTGCTTTTTCTGACACTCTCTTCTTTGTATGAATTGTTCTAAACATCTCAATCAATTCAGTCCGGCTGAACAAATGATCTGATGTAACAAAGTCAGTGTCTATGGCGCAAGAACTGGATGCAATTTTATCTTCAACTGGTTCCACTGCATTGTCCACAGATTTTGAAGATGAGCATTCCTCTGCCTTCAGTTTCACAGAAAGATCCTCAAGATCCCTTCTACACTCCTCAATGTTGGAGTCATGTGTATTTTTTTTATGCTCCACTGAGTCTAATTCCTCTTGATCTTGACCTAATCCATTTCCATCATCTTCATCTGATTCTTCTTCATCATCTTGAAGTAATCTTTCATCATTGTCATCTTCTTCCTCTTGTATTTCATCTAGCTCTTGGCTGCTAAGTGCTGAGAAGAATGCTGCTTTAATATTGTTTTCTCTAAAATACTTTGCCCAGGTTTCTCTCTGTGCTTTGGTCAAAAAATCAGCCTTATTAACCAACAATAGGTTATCTTTTTCTTTTGACACTTCTTTAACGTAAGTTTCCAGATCCTCACAGCGGAAAAGTAATGGATTACGAGCATCAACGATCTGCACTACAACATCACTGGAATTGGAAAAAATAATATAAAATATAGAAATCTGAAAAAAAGGAAACTTGTTTTCCATGTTAGCAAAAAATTGAAGTAAACAAACATGGTTCATATACATCTGAATATAATCTCATATTGACATACCTCCTCTCAATAACTCTCCATAATTGTCTCCAAAACTCCAGATTCTTCTCAAAAGGAGTAAGGGTAAGCCCCTCCACCTCTTGAAGTTGCACCAAACTCCTCCTCCATTCTAGGAAACTGTCACGTTCTGCTTGAGCCAATTCTTCTGGAGTTGTCATTATGTTCCAATGTGGTCTGCAAATGTAAAAACACATATACAAAATTTAGTATGGATAACTTCAACAACAATAAGTACAATCTCTAAGTAATTTTGATGACAGGTTCATTCACACCTTCATTGACCTTGCACTGACCTTCTGGGGATTCTCAGATGCATCTTATTTGCGTCTTGAGCTTCTCTGATTTTCTTTTTTTCTGCCTCAGTTAACATTCCTGACTTTGAACTTGGAGGCACAAACTTTATATTGAGCTTTTCAGCCTGTGGAAGTAAGTTGAAAAGAATACCAAATTAAGATGGCTACCCAAAAACTATGTACCTAACACAAAAAATGCATTAAAACAATTATTATCTTCAGATGCATCTGGATATGGAAATGATTCATTTAAAAGCCAAAGGTCTCCATAGTGGTTGATAACCATCAGTCAGGGTTGAGGGATCAACCATGAGTAAATAAATGCCTTGGAGACAAAAAATGGTTGATAAATGCCAGGATCAACTCTGAATTTCCTTCTTCAAAAACTGTCATTTCTTTTGGAAATGAAATTGTAATATAATAAAATCAGTCAAAATTACAACTGACTGATGTCTGGTTTGTATTGATGAAAAAGGGCAAATAAACATAATTTATATAAAGAAAGCTATTACTGATAATATTTTGTTGTTCGTCAATTTCACATGGTTTGGAACCCATGATAGATGATTAAGGATTGCATGAGGGAATCAATGGCCTAAAAAAAGTTTGGCGCACGCTATACATCTCCATATTCTGAATGACATTCAAGTTAATATAATTTAAATAATCATTTACAAAAAAGTTTAAGATTTTATTCTGATGTGGTGCATTCTTGGGCAGAAATTCTCCTAAGATATATAAAACACCCTCATTTCAATTGATTACATACCTGGAATTTGGTTTGTCACAATATTTTGTAACCTTTATAACACAGAACAGAGAATTGCAAACTTTATGGAGAGAAAGAAAGAAAGAAACTAATATCATCAGTTCCCTAAGGATTAAAAAAAAAGCACATTCCATAAACTTACCTGAAATTCAGTACCTGCCAACTCAGCTGTTGCTAGGAAATCGTCCACATCAGTTTGCTCAGTAATGGACATGAAATTGATCCGGTTCCACTCCTGTCCATCTTCTAATTCTGAAGTATGCAACTGGACACAAAAAAAAACAAAAACAAAAACAAAAATAAATGACATGTCAAATTGTGAAAACAACAACTGCAAAAATCACCAATCCAGAAAGAAGGCAAGAGAAAAGAGAAAGATATACATACATTGCATTATAATGGGTGT